GAGTTGTTGCTGTTATTGTTGTTGTAGTTGCTGGTAAAGGGGCTGGCCGTGGTGGCGGCAGCGGCAGCTTTGCCTTTGGCGGCCGGTGACGAAGGCACGTCTGGCGCAAAAGATAAGGAGCGTTTTGCTCTGTCTACTGGTGCAGCACCTGAATATGTGTTTGCTCGTCTTGGTTCTGGAGGAGAGCCAGAGGAGGAGCCAGAGGAGGCTGCAGAGAGGCTCGAGGTCGCGCTCACATTCGCAACCGGCTTGGAGGGCCGCCTCAAGATCGTTGCGGGAGGGGTAACAGGCTCTGTCTTTTTCTTCTTTCCAAACCAGAGAAAACCCATTGCTCGGTTGAGTATTCGAGAGAGGGAGAGGGAGAGTTGGGGAGAGGTGGAAAAGAGGCAGAGAGGGCGATGGTCGATAAGCAAGTTTAGTTTGCCCAAATAAACGCGGCCTCTAACCTCCGAAATAATTTCATGAACACAGTTATCGTCTCTGTCCATGACGTCAACAATTCCGAACCGCGCCTGCCGAGATTCTATTTCGCGAGGATTCTCTGCCCTGCTTCGCACGAGCAATGTCCATTGGAGGCGAAACCCGTGATTAACAGGGAATTATCCCAGCATTATCCATGATGTCAACCCAACGTCATAGACTGGTGAGTTTTTGTTATCGATTTTTCTAGTGGGATATGGGAACGTGGCTAGATTTTGCAAAACGCTAGTGACTGCTCCCGACAAACTACTACGACGGTTACGCACGTCACTCGCTGTTATGACGCCAGTCGCTACATGCGCCTCAAAAAAATTCATTTTAATTCACATGCATCGGCGTTGCTCAAACACTCTGGAAAATCCCCCGCTTCGTCGTCAAGATTCTAGTGGAGAGGAGCTGCGTTGGATCACACCCACTCACCGAGACAACCAAAATGGAAAGCTAATTAATTAATTATCCTGAAACCCGGAACCCCTCGATATAGCTTATCTGGTCCTTGTATCGTAACTCTGAAGCATCTTCGCTTCCAATTCGAACGAGCAGGGGACATTGACAAGACACTGGCATTGAAGGAGAGAATCGGGGCTATTCCTGAACGAGCAACACGCAGCAGGCGGCCCTGCAACCTACCTCGACATCGTCGACCACTCCGAACCCAAAACTAGGAGATGAAAAAGAGAACAAAAGCAATACCCTCGACTTCAAAGGGTCGTCCATGAACCAGTAATGGCAGCGGCACCACCACATGTCCAACGCCATCAATCCACTTTTTTACCTTTTCGACACCATGGAGTCCACGGCCATTCCCTTTACCTCCCCACTCGTACGAGGTACTTCAAGAATAGACTACATATCATTGGATAGTCGGACCGACACGAGTGGAACGCATGGTTTGTGAGTCCCCCCCATAGCACGTTTATTGAACCATGATGCTCATGTGATGGAGATAGGCTCTATATGACGTTCGAAAGGTGTACTAGGGAGTCATCTGTACGTGAGCAGTGTTTCTTATTGGGTGCCATCTTACCAATGCGGTTCCCGTCGGCTTACAGAATCACTCGACAATCTTGTAAAACCGGCAAATTTTCAAAATTCCATGAATATTTATACATCAGACGTCATAGAGACACACAATTCTACTTCTGGTGAGTTTTTGGGCAACGATAGGGGACCTCGATTTGACAACGACTAGCCTCACTATCAATTAGATACCTTCTTCCTCAATAATGATCCGTGGCTGTCGCTCTCCCTTGTGAAACATAGAACTGGATCGGCTCATAAATCTTCGTGGATTTTGAAGAATTGTGCGGTTGGTGAAAGTTCAAGTTCGTCGTCCGTCCAGGGGTCCTCATCCAACGGATATCTGGCACCCCTATCGAGTTCATATCCATGTGCTACTCCCTTTCCCTTGATATCATCGGGAACGGATCTAGCGGGTTTGTCACTCGAAGATGGTGTCAGGTCTGCTTTCTTTGGTTTGTCCGGCATGGATCTAGTCCTCTTTCCTGATTCCCCAAAGTCACCAGCCAACCTGATGCCTTGATCCGCGATAGTATCCATCCAAAAACCCTTAAAGCTTCGAGAGGATGGAGGCAAAATCGTCGGTAGTGGACCCGGCACACTAGAGACCGCTTTTTCTCGGTTTGAAGAGCCGAGTCGAGGCCTCAAAGACATCAGACTGCTCGTTGAATTTCTGAGGTCAGGGGGGAGTCTGAGGCGCGAAAATTTGTCGGGTTGTGCATCCTCTTTTTGCGTCTTGGCACGATGTTTAGCGTCTCGATCGCGGGAGGGGGATCTGATTCGGCTAGGCGACACATTATAATCATCTTCGTCACTCGATTCTATGTGAGTGTAGAGATCTGGACGTTTTCCCCGGTACGTGAGAGTCCCGTAATCCTCTGGTTCGTCACCTAGCCATCTGGGATCAGCTTTTGGTAGTCTATCGATCGCTTCCTCAGTGTTGAATTCAGATTCTTCGTCTCCGTCCTAGAAAATGGATTAAATTTCATTGCTACCCATTCAAGAGAGAGGATGACGCTTACTGACGCCAGAATACTTGCAGTCGGAACGGGCTTAATGTCCCTTATCCAGTTGGCTTTTAATTTTGCCATTAACCTTCTATCATTACGAATACTTGTAACTCTCTCTCGAAGAGGTAACCCTTGATCACCACTCTCAATTATCGTCAATGCATCTTCCAGTGAGTTGTTAATTTGGACAGGCAAGAGAGATTTGATGTATCCCAGATGTACCTCTGGTTTAAGGATAGAATTGTAAGCCTCAAAATTCAAAATAATGTAATCATCCATGGTTGAAGGGGCGTTAAAGTCCTTAAAAGCTTCCAAGGCCATTAACCAATTGGTTCTCCAGATTTCTATTCTCTTGATAAACCTAGGCCTAGAGCGACTAATGAGAGTAAGGTAAATGCCTTCTCATGGAGAAAATGACATACAAATCGTTGATTAATAGAGATAAATCAATGATAGCAACCTCTCCAGCGTCAATATATGCGATGCATTCATGGCTGATTTGTGGTCTATCTGTTATCGTGGGGGGTAGATCCAAAAGCCAATGATCTCCATAGTAGATCGAAGACTTCTTCTGGTGTAAAACCGCTGGAATGACCTGCCTCTCATCGAAGCAATCGAAGAAGATAGGAGGGTCACCCCCTGTAAAACTCATGTTTAGGATTGTTCGGTCCTCCCAAG